GCGTGACTTTTAAGCCACCGGGTCCAGGACGCGAACCACGGTCAACTACATGGGAGTCCAGGGACATAGCCATTATACTAACTGCTGGTTCCTCCTCTTAGGATTTTGGGTAAACATGCACATGTGCTGGGAGAGTTTTAAGCTGCTGGTCCGGAACTGGAACCACAGTCACCTATGTGGGAGTTCAGCTTCATAACCATTACGCCATCTGCTGGTCCTTCCTCTGTGTCTTTTGAAGATTTGTTTTGGTTTGAGTAGAGATTAAGGAATATAACATGTTTTTTTTTTTTTTTTTTAAACCTCCCTACCTATAATGTAACAAGGGTGGGTTTTGTTTGATAGTTGCTACTTCCAAGTAAAACAAAGTAAATTTGCCTATAGATTAGGTCAGATTTTGTTTCTTTCCATTTACATGTCCAACATAGTAAGATGGTCTTTTTCTTTTTAGTTTTTTTGCTACAGGGTTGTGTGCTCATGGGAGAGAAAGAGAGAGAGAGAGAGAGAAAGTGAGAGAGAGAGAGAGAGAAAGTGAGAGAGAGAGAGAGAGAAAGTGAGAGAGAGAGAGAGAGAAAGTGAGAGAGAGAGAGAGAGAAAGTGAGAGAGAGAGAGAGAGAGAAAGTGAGAAATCATCCTGCAGGGGGAAATGGCCAGGCTACAACCCCTCTCTTCCATTCTCCTCTCAGGACGTTGGGCATGTATGCACATATACTTGGCATGATTTTGGGGTCAATAGGTCTGGTACTCGAACAATGCATCCAGCCACGTAGGATCCAGCACCTTAACCTCCACACCACCTGCTGGCCCCTAAGATGGTCTTTTTACTTAGCACACATTTAGTGTGCTCTAAATCTACACGAGGTGTCCATGGGAAGGGACACCTCGTGTAGAGTTGAGCAAAAACATACCCCTTCCCTTTGTTAAACCATTTAATAGGTGGAGTGATGTTTACATAGAAATTAGTAAAAGAGGAACCAGCAGATGGTCTCATGATTACATTGCTGGACTCCCACATAGTTGACCACCGTTTGAGTTCTGGACCAGGTGGCTTAAAACTCACACCAGGCGCATGTGCGTATGTTCCCAAAATCCCGATAGGAGGATGGAGGAGAATGGACTGCGGCATGGCCATCCTCTCTCTCTGGCGAGCACATATTTCCTATAGCAAAAATCTCTTTAAGAAAAGAAATAAATTGCTAAAAGATCCCTCACACAGATAAATAATAGTTACCTAAGATTTCTCTATCATAACTGAAATAATAAGGTTTCTGTTCTTTGCACCATTAAAAAAAATATTTTTTTAAGGTTTGTGCCATAGGGTGTGTGCACTCACTGGGGAGAGAGAGAGAGAGAGCGAGTGAAAAATCATCTCCCAGGGAGGATGGTCACACTGCAGTCCCTTCTCCTCCTGGGATATTTTGGGCACAAGCACACATGCACCCAGAGTAATTTTTTTTTTTTTTGAGAGGTTTTTGCTATATGGCATGTGCACTCGCCAGAAAGACGGACACAGAGAGACAGAAAGCAAGAAATCACCCCCCGGGGGAATGGCCACACTGCAATCCCTTCTTCTCCATTCTCCTCTCGGGATCTTGGGTGGGCACGCACGCACATGCGCCGGCATGAGTTTAAGCCACTGGGTCCAGAACTCAAACCGCAATCGACTACATGGAAATCCCAATGACATAGACATTACGCCAACTGCTGGTCTCTCAAAATAAAAATTTTCAATTTTAAAATAAAAATGTAAAAATTTTAAATGTAAAAATTTTAAATAATTATACAAAATTTATATGTCAATGGCTGGGGTCAGCAGGTGGCATGGAGGTTAAGAAGGCTGGATTCTACATAGCTGACTCCACAGTTAAAGTCTCGGATCTGGTGGCTTGAAAATCATTCTGGGTGAGTGAGTGCATGTGCCCAAAATCCCAGGAGGAGAATGGAGGAGAAGGGATTGTGGAGAGGCCATCCCCTCTTTTGGGGTGATTTCTTACTTTCCCTCTTTCTCTCTGTCTCTCTTTGGCGAGCACATGGACCTCAGCAAAAACTAAAAAACTCAAATAAAAATACGTCAATGGCCAAGCATATTTGTATTAATTCTGGAAAATGATGTTCTTGATTAAACTAAATAAATAACCTTAATGCTTCTTTTTTGATAACTTTTGTGCATTTTAGGACAAGGAATGCATAATTCATGCTTTTGATTCAAGAAGTAATGTCTGTTTAGATATAAATAAGGATAACGATAAAATATTATGCCCTGTAAGGGACACATATTTTCATTTTATAAAAGTAACAGAGGCTCAGAGAAGTTAGTTTGTTTAATAGATTGTAAAGGACAACCTCGGGATTTAATTCCAGTCTTGCCTGCCTCCAAATCTTTATCATTTCCCTTTAATTTTAGAAAAATGTGTGTATACTCCCTAAAAATATGACCTGTAGGACTGGCTTTATGGCCTGCTGGTTAAGGCTGTAAGATCCCACACGCCCGACCTCAGAGGCTGAGTCCCAGACCTGGCAGCTTGAGAAACACACTGGGCATGTTTGCATATGTGCCCAAAATCTCAAAAGGAGGGAGAAATGGAGCAGAATGATTGCAATGTGACCATTCCCCATGAAGGGCACTCCTCCCCGACTTTACTCCCTACCACACACCCTCTGGTGAGCATATGCCCCTTTAGCAAGAAACCAAAAAACAAAACAAAACAAAAACAAAAACAAAAACAAAACAAAACAAAACTCCCCCCAAAAAATGAAAAATAAAAAACAAAATCTTGCCAAAGTAAAATGGGAAAAACAGTTTTTCCAGGATTTAGAGAATTACACATACATTTATAGGAGACTGTAGGTTTTATGTGAAGGAAACTATGTGACCACATCTATTTTCTTTATTGTATTAAATCTAGTGCTTTGTATGTATGTTTGGCATGTATGTCCTCAATAAAAATTTTCTAAATGAAGTACACATAAATGACAATGTTTGGAATTAGATGGTAGGCACATATGAATAATTTCAACGACTGCATTTTGTGTGTCAGACAATTCACAGTTTTAAATCTGTAAAGAGGAAATAAGATAAAGTTTGATGTAGGCTGTTTGAAAATAAGCCTTCTGTCTTCATGAAATGGTCAGAACCCAGTCAAGGGCAGTTTCCACATTTGCAGCTGTATTTTCCAGTTAAATATCAATAATCAATTAACCATACTATGAGTAAATTTGTGGATGACTGAGAGCCTTCCCTGGCATAGTTGTTTGGTCATTCCCTAACAAATTCATTCTCTGAAAATGGCTTTAAAAATTAAGCTTGGGGGAACCAGCAGTTAGCATAATGGCTATATTGCTGGACTCCCACGTAGTCGGCCACGGTTCGCGTCTCGGACCCGGTGGCTTAAAACTCATGCTGGGCGCGTGTGTGTGCGTGCCCAAGATCCCGAGAGGAGAATGGAGGAGAAGGGATTGCGGCATGACCATCCCCTCTTGGGGGTGATTTCTCGCTTTCTGTCTCTATGTCTCTCTGTCTGTCTGGCGAGCGCACGCGACATATAGCGAAAATCTCTCAAAAAAAAAAAATTAGGCATGGAAGAAAACTGTTGGATGTCAGAAAAGTGAAGACACATTTTTCTATAGAAAAATATGTCACGATCTTTCCAATGACCCAAAAGATTCAAAGGCAAAGACTAAATTTTTAAAATATTTGTATTAC